GATGATAAAGCCTCTGGCCAAATCCACCTCCCGCCCCGGTAACCATCTCCCTCCTCCATGAACAGTCATAGAAACCTGTGGTTTTGCATCAGGGTGATGTTTCCTCTTGTCTACCAGGCTGTAACGCAGAACTGGGAGGCTTTGCTGGTCTGTTTGATTTAAAAGCAGCAGGGTTTGTGGACCCGATCCTGGTGTCTGGGACGGATGGTGTTGGGACTAAGCTAAAGGTTAGCTTCATGCAAATACTTTTGTCGTCTTATATCAGTTATCTGTGCAGGAAATGAAAAAATGAAAGAAAGCTGGGTTTTTATTTAGTTCTGTTTCTGTGCTTTCCAGATTGCTCAGGCTTGTGGACAGCATGGCGGCCTCGGTCAGGATTTGGTGGCCATGTGTGTCAACGACGTGTTGGCTCAGGGTGCAGAGCCGCTGTTCTTCCTCGACTACTTCTCCTGTGGCTCCCTTAACGTGGAGGTTGCTGCCTCGGTGGTCGGCGGCATCGCAAAGGCCTGTGAGATGGCTGGCTGTGCCCTGCTGGGTAAAATAATAGACACTTGGACTCTCACTAAGTGCAAACAAAGAGCTGATTGATTATACGTCTGTGAACTCTGAACAGGAGGCGAGACGGCAGAAATGCCAGGCGTCTATCCTCCGGGGGAGTACGACCTGGCCGGTTTCTGTGTGGGCGCCACAGAGCGGGGCACCCTGCTGCCGAGGCTGGACGACGTGGCGGAGGGGGATCTGCTGATCGGAGTGGCCTCCTCTGGGCTTCACAGCAACGGTTTCAGCCTTGTCCGCAAAGTTCTGGAGCGAGCCGCCTTAAGTTACAGCTCCCCTGCTCCGTTTGGTAAAGCGGGACAGACTGTTGGTGAGTGACTCGCTCCCAAACTTCGGTTTTCTGCATCCAGCAATCGGCTCAGCTGTATGTTGCTTCCAGGGGAGGTGTTGCTGACTCCCACTAAGATCTACAGCCGCCTGCTGCTGCCGATCCTGCGCAGCGGCGCCATCAAAGCGTACGCACACATCACCGGTGGGGGTCTCCTGGAAAACATCCCCAGGGTGCTCCCTAAGCAGCTAGCTGGGGAGTTAGGTGAGATGAAAGCACTCTATACTTTGATATGATGCTTTAATGAAATTAAATAAAAATTTTTCTGTGTCTCAGATGCATCCAAGTGGAGCATCCCTGCAGTTTTCTCATGGCTCCATAAGGAAGGCCGTCTGAGCGAGGAGGAGATGGCCCGCACCTTCAACTGCGGCCTGGGGGCAGTGCTGGTGGTGGCGCCGCCGGATGCTCAGAGGGTCCTACGGCAGCTTCAGGGCCACGAAGAGGCCTGGATTGTGGGTTCACTGGTCCACAAGCAACCTGGTAAGAAAACAATGATTAGAGATTCTGATTGGTTAGAAGATGAAGCACTGTTAAAAAAAAAAAACAATAACTGTTTGGATCCGACAGGGGCGTCACCTGTGGTGGTTCGCAACCTGAAGCAGAGCCTGCTAAATGCATCTGCCGGCGGGCAACTGGAGGCAGAGGGTAGTGGTTGCCTTGGAAACAGCATCACACCGTGTAAAAGGATGAGAGTGGGGGTTCTCATCTCTGGGACAGGTGTCTGTCAGATTACTTTTATCTTTAAAGGAATTTATTTCTTTGTGATTTGTTTGATCTCAGCGTTTTTCTGTTTGGACCTTCCAGGCACAAACCTGCAGGCCCTGATAGAGCGGGCCAGACGGCCTTCCAGCTCAGCAGAGATTGTGGTGGTCATCTCCAACAGGCCTGGGGTTCAGGGTCTGAAGAGGGCGTCTCTGGCTGGCATCCAGACACGGGTACGTTTGTTAAACACCAGACAACAATGTTTTATTTTTTAAGTGCTGATAAATTCTTAAATTCTACTTAACTTTAACTCAATAAGTTCTGATTGAAGTTCTTCCTGCCCCATATGCGCTCGAGACATACGCCTTGAGCTTGTCTACCAAACTAGAATGTTAAATTAGATTAATTGCAAAAGAGTTTATATGCTCATTTAGATTGTTGTCTGCATTACAAATTACAGAAATGTGTCTAATCATGCTGACAACCAGCTTAACAAAGTAAAGCTGTTAGAACCATCTAGTCTCTATGGTGACTGTTGCTAGCCTCATCACCTGATCTATATCACTCTATTACTTAGCAACATCAGATGTGAATTTTATAGTTTCCGCAGAACATTTAGAAGTAGGTCGATTTATTAAATTGGAAAATCGATACTAAATATTATTTGCAAAGTACCTCAGAAAACTGTCAGATTATATTTGACCTAACAAATTTGTTTTTGTCAGCACATTCATTTAACTTTGATTCTTTTGAAAAGGCATTTTACATGTTATAAAAATTATTTTAATGGTATTGAATATTTCCTGGCTATAGCTTGAACACAATGAGAAGCCGAGCAGTGATGACTTTAATAGTTTCTTCAGCTCCTCTGAATTTGTGTATCAAAGGTTTCCAGGGTTGAGTCACTATTATAACAAAATATAACGACTGCTGCTAGGCGTTTATCATTGTAGCGCTTTGTTTGGATCCACACCAGGTGGTGGATCATAAGCTGTACGGGAGCCGAGCAGAGTTTGACGGCACCATCGACCGCGTCCTGGAGGAATTTGGAGTGGAGCTGGTCTGTCTGGCTGGATTCATGAGGATCCTAACTGGAACATTTGTCAAGAAATGGACCGGTAAAAGAACAAAAACAAAGCATTTTTCTATTTAAATGAACCTTGACATAATTACAGTGTGCTTTTTCTTCATCCGTTCAGGTAAACTGCTGAACATCCACCCATCCCTGCTGCCCTCATTTAAAGGTGTGAATGCCCAGAAACAGGCTCTGCAGGCGGGAGTGAGGCTGGCTGGATGCACCGTTCACTTCGTGGCAGTAAGTTACTGCATCCCCTCCACTCATAGATTAATCCAGATATGACAGTAAAATGATCTACTCGAACAAGATTTTGCTAAATTTCCCATGTTCTGTGATGTCATAGACCCGTTAGCTTGTAATCCAACTTCTAGAGTAGTTAATGGCTCTAAATTTCCCCCCTTAGACTTTAGCTCATTTCAACAGCATCTTCTAATGCATCTCCACACCATGACACTCCCACCTCAAACATGTTAAAAAGTAAACCGATAACTTTGGTGTATTGATCTTAGTAGCATCAAAGGCCTTTTGTTTTTTCAGGAGGAGGTGGATGCAGGAGCCATTATTGTCCAGGAGGCGGTGCCAGTGGTGGTCGGAGACACAGAGGAGAGTCTGTCAGAACGAATCAGGGAAGCAGAGCACAGAGCTTTCCCCGCCGCCATGGAGCTGGTGGCCAGTGGAGCCGTGCAGCTGGGGGAGGACGGACAGGTTGTCTGGAAGCCACAGAGCTAAAGCAGGTTTAACCCTGATGATGTGGTTTAGCAGCACGTCCTTCCTAATTAGATCTAAAATAACTGGTAGAAACCGACACTGTCTCTAAACGTTACATAAAGTATTAAGATCTGTGTGTTTTGTTTACAGTAGAACATGATGGAGGCTTATTAAGAAAGGAAAAACTACATTCCATTTAGATTTGCACAGCAACAAAGCCTGATTGGTTGGACTTGTGATGATGTCAGAGTAACTGCATGATTAAAAGTATCTGGAAACATTTTCACCCGTCTTCAGCTTTTGATTTCTACAATGCACTCAGTAGCCACTTTATTAGGTACAACACGGATATTTTCAATGTAATTTAAGATCTGGATTGAAGAGGCACACCTGTTGTTTTATCTCTAATTTGGTATAAATTTAACAGTGTATTAGACGTTGCTTAGATTTTGGTGCCCATTGACAGAATCATGTCAACTGAAATATAAAGCTGATTTTAGGTTTTGATCCTTTTCCTAGTATAATTATTTTCTTAACAGCAATGGAGCTGACTGAAAATTCACTGAGGCTGTGTCCGAATGTCCGCCCTTATCACTATACAGTGGATAAAAAGGTACTGGACTCGAAATTTCCCACAATGCACCTTGAAAAGCAGTGATCATCCATGGTCAATAGACAAGCAGATAAATCCCATAATGCTGTGCGTGGAGGCGGAGTTATGTTGAAGGTACCAGATCTGCTTGGGGCCCTTCGGACAAACTGTATTACGCCTGTTTCTAAAATCTCTTCCAGAGTCCGAACATATTACCCATATTTCTTATTTTATGTTTCATCAAGGATGTCAAGTAGTTTATAGAAGCAATTATTCTCAGACTGACTGAGATCTGCCATTTAACAATGTGACACAAAGACTGTTATTTTACTTGTAGAAAATACAAGAACGAATGGTTGCTGACACAAAGTTTAAAGTGTAGCTTTATATGGCCAACTGACCGAGCTGAAAGAGGCTAACCTGTTAGCTACTGAGCACAGCTAGCCGTAGCTCTCCCTCTTTATGTCGTAGTCTTGCAATTTCTTTGTTCACCATAAACATATTTTTTCAGCTATCAAGTAAAACTTAATTGGTCATTAAACCCGCTAACATTACAGATGCTCGGAACACGGACAGACGGTGCAATGTTATCGTTTCCTGGGCAACCGCAACATTCAGCCAATCATATAGTGTTACATCAGTGGCATGTGCAGGATCCGAGCAGATCTGGTACCTACAACATGACTAATGGCGAGCAAAAGTAATGATCATCTGTCTGACTACACCTTATATAATTGAGTTATATTTACTTACTGTATTCTGTTTTGTACTATATTTTATTTTTCTCTCTTCTGCACTGCAAGAAAAGAATTTCCAACAAGGGACTAATAAAGTAATTCTGACATTTGGAGTATTATTTTCTCATTTGATCCATCTTTGCAGCTGGTCTGGATAAAACATGACTAATAATTTTTCAGTCGTATGGTAGCATACAGAGTCTGGTATTTAACTGCTCGAAATATAGAAATTGATTCACTTTTTTTCTTGGTAATTGGGTGTTTTACCTCATAAAGATGCCAGATTAATGCATAAACAATCCTACCTTTCTCAGGACTCTGTGGTGAAACAGGTCAGCTGGTTTCTATGGAAGCGCAGGACAGACAGCCTTTCATTTCCAGCTCTGGTAGACAAGCAGGCTCCTCCTTCCAGTCCACATTGGCCTAATAACCCGATGATTTCCTCTGTTAGATGGAGAAATGATTAAAAATCTGATAGAGGTCTTTTTTTCCCACATATAACTGCATAGAAAAGTCAATCAAACCTGGATTGTTCTCAGCTATGGTGATGAGGTAAAACAGGCCTTTAGTGGAGAGCAGCTGAGCAACCAGAGGAAGAAATCTGTCGGTGACCTCTCTGCCTCGTTCCCCGCCGGCCCAGGCAGCCTCTATACCTCTGCTGCCCACCTACAGTAGAAGGATAAACCTGGTTCCATTCAGACCTTAGGAGCTGCAAAGACCCTGCTGAGCAGTAGCCAGAGCTGATCTACCTCTTCTGAAGGAGTGACCACATACGGAGGGTTAAAGAGGAGGACGTCCACCTTCCCACACAGCCGAGGCAGGAGACTGTCCACCTGAAAGAAAGGAATGAAACCACTTAAAATCTCTTTTTAAAACCGTTATTTAATTTAATTAATAAAATAAGTACATTTCTGTTTAAATTATGACGGCCTTAGGTTTCTGGTCTCTGCTATATAAAAGTTGAGGTTTAACCAGAAGTCCCCAGTATTAGTTTTCTATGAGCTAAATCTGTGCAGAGCTTCTGCTTCTTGTCATTTTTATTTTCACATTAATGTAACACGAGTCTCACCAGGTCTGTGATGACGGGCTGCAGTGAGATCCGGTTACAGGAAGCGGTTGTGGCTGTGCACTGCGCTGCAGCTAGATTCACATCAGTACATCTAGCAGGAAAACGGATCATGAGAAAAGTTTACACAAATTCAGCACTTCTGAATTAAATTCAACACCGAGTTAAATTAAAAGGTTATTGCTGCAATCCAAGTTAAATCATTATAAGAGCTTGCTTAGTTTAAGGAGACTGAAGTTGGCAACCTGTTCCCAGCTTCTGTTTTGATTTAGGATTGAAGGGCTATTCCACTCAATCTTTTCTCTTTAATGTGGTCCTGTGTAAAAACCATGACACAATTCTTCAAACCTGGACTCAAATGTTTTTTGGGGACAATAGTTCATGATTAGTGAAAATGAAAAATAGCCACCATAGAGCAAGTCCCAATAAAAGAACTCCACAATAGCTGGTCTAAGTTGGCCAGATACTTAAAAAGCCATAAAAATTAGGCTATTTTTCATTTTCACAAATCATAAGCTGTGTTTGAATTAATCTACAGCCCATTAACCTCTCAACATCCACCTAATTTTCGATAATCCTCGTCTATTTTGCATACCCAAATGGAAAAGTACATAACTGAGGAACTCTTAAAGGGATAGTTCGGTATTTTTGACATGAATCTGTATGGCATCCCCATCACCAGTGGCATGCAATCACACTGACTTACCCCTGGCAGCGTCCTGTGAGCAGAGTTATCGTCCAGTTTTGGTCAAGCCGAAAGTAGTCCGGCAGGTTTTTAGAACCAGCGAAATAAAACGTTTCTCTTCCCAAAACATTATGTGTTCAAAAGAGCGATATTTTTGCATCCCAAAAACATTGTAGTGGAAAAAGTCACACGTCGTTATCAATTGGTCCTATTTTCTCTCTGTTCGTATCAGTGCGCACCGTCATTCAGACAGCGAGCTCAACAACAGCCAGATGCATGTCTCCCTCCGCCTAGCTCCTAGCTGGGCGGAGGGAGACATGCATCTGGCTGTTGTCAGGTTAGTAGGCCCTAGCTGTCTGAATGACGGCGCGCACTGATACGAACAGAGAGAAAATAGGACCAATTGATAACGACGTGTGACTTTTTCCACTACAATGTTTTTGGGATGCAAATATATCGCTCTTTTGAACACATAATGTTTTGGGAAGAGAAACGTTTTATTTCGCTGGTTCTAAAAACCTGCCGGACTACTTTCGGCTTGACCAAAACTGGACGATAACTCTGCTCACAGGACGCTGCCAGGGGTAAGTCAGTGTGATTGCATGCCACTGGTGATGGGGATGCCATACAGATTCATGTCAAAAATACCGAACTATCCCTTTAAGTCCAAATTACATGTGCAATACGTTATTTGAAAGCCAAGTACCCTAGTTTCTGAATATCTAAATTAAAATTGGGTGAGTAGAACACAGACCAAGCTGCATCAGTTCAAACATGACTCAAAGTTGTTGTTTTTTTTTATTCTCAGAAATGATAGGTCTTTTTTGAACAGCAGTAATAAAGACATTCTTAAGAAAAAGCAGGTTTCATTGTATTATATTTGTTCTACATCATGTCAATCACAAAAGCAGTTCCCAGCTGCCACGACCAGTTAATCCTGCCACTAGTGAATCTACCTGAACGGTTTGATAACACTGATCTCTATTTATTCTCTGGATTGCTATTGGTGGTCCACTTCACTACCCGATCTGTCCGGGAAGCACGATCCGTTCTGCGCATGCACCATCAGCTCAGATATACATCCAGGTCGCCCTCAATTTTATTTTGTTAAAATCACCTCAATGACATTTTCCCTTCATAAAAATAGTAAACGTACTAAAATATAATGTGTTAAAGGTTAACAATGTATTTCTTGAGAAAATAAATGCCTTTTATCAGTCGTCTGGGCCTGATCTGCACCGGAAATGATATCCTACGCTACTTCCGGTCGCCAGCTTTTTCGGCTTTGGATTTAGGATTGATTTGTGATTGATTATGGAGATAAATTGTACATGCATGCTGCATCCTCCATCTTGCGTCATATTGACTCAGTGTACCATGCATCATTACGATTCATTACAAATTCTAAGTCCCTTACTCATCACTGCATTCTTTATGATCTAGTTGGTTGGACATCACTAACAATTCGTAGAAACCAGCACTGGTATATCTTTATCTATAAAGCAACTCCCACTGTACCTCTGTAACCTCCTCTCTGTGAGTTCCGGTAGTTATCAGTTGCGCTCCTCTCAGTGGCTACTTTTTAATGTACCCCGAGCTTCAACTGAGTTGGGAAAAACTGCATTCTCCTACTCTGCACCTTGGGGATGGAATAACCTCCAGAAAGAGCTCAAATTAGAAACTCTCGTGTCCATTAATGAATTTAAAGCAACCATGAAAAATGTAGTGATGGAGATATGTGCTTGTTTTTCTTGAGATGCTCAATGTGTTTTAACATACTGCTCTGATTTTATTTTTTTATGTTTTTTTTTTTTGTTTTTTCTTTTATTCTTTATTTTGCAAATTGTAATATGTTGTAAATATGTATGAACTTCCTGTGGTTTGGCTGCTACCTTGGCCAGGTCTCTCTTGAAAAAGAGATTCTGAATCTCAATGGGACTTTCTGGTTAAAAATAAATAAATAAACATAAATCTAGTGTTTTTGAGTTTTAAGTTGTTGTTTCGTTTTAACCTTATGCTATATAGTGAGTAATATAAAGAAAGAACTAAAATGCAGATAAACAGGGTTTAATCATATTTCGCCTGACTGCTCTGAGCATGTCCAATGATGATGTCAGAGAAGCACTTTAACAAAGAAAATGTAAAAAGCATAAAAATTGTCTCAGAACAGTCATAAAACATTTTTACAGACGTGTATTACTATTCTTTAGTGAGCTAAGGATAGAAATAAGTAGTTTTAGTACCATAATTACATTATTTATGGAGGCCTGGATGTATATCTGTTTGCGCATGCGCAGAACGCAGTACATGGTGTTGTAAAGTCACCAGCCGCCATATTGGTACTCCAGTCGGAATGTAAACAATACGTGCTCTACAACATTGAACAACAATAATGCTCTCATTTTCAGGGGGCGTCAGGCTTTTAAAACTAAGATAAAGTCATCACTTTGACACAAACGTGCTGTTCTATAGCATCAGTTATGGAACTATGGAACATTGAATATTCAGCATAAAGTTTATAAATCATGTAACATAACACAAATCCATCACAACAACATTTGTGTGTTAATGGAGTATAATAATACTGTAGTCAGATATTAAGAATATTAGACATCCACACACACTAGCTGATGTGCCAAAAGTGCTAAATTGATTATGTATATTTAAGATACATGTATCTATTACATTGTTATGGTAGTTACATCACATTACAGGCATTTTTAGGGCATGACTCTGTGAAAGTGGGGAGTACCAAGATGGCGACAGGTGACTTCATGTTTTTCCGTCTATCAGCGATCCAATGAATAAATAGAGAAAGGGCTGTCCTCTCTCACCCACTGGGTGTGAGACTCACGCATCTCAGTGTTTTCACACACTCACACTCCGTATCCCCAATTTCTCACGCTAAAATACAACGGACATTAAAACTCAACCCCATTTCACTTACTTATATATATAAAAATACCATAATGATAAAAACCCAGTCTGCGTTTTCAACACAAGTGCTTACACATGAGGGTATATCAGGTTCATATGCAGTATTTTTGCACCAGCCCACCTATTCAATGTGCTGACCGCTGCCGAGGTGAGGGACCTGCGCCAGATATTAAAAAAATACCAGGATTTCTGAGAAATTATAACGAGGTATGTCATTTTAATTTTATCTTACTTTATCTGTACTAAGATAATTCACTTTGTAAATTTACGAAGATTTTAAGCAGTCTAGCACTTGCCTAAATATGAATAACATATACAGCAATTAGCTTAAATTATCACTGTGGAGACTGAAGTGAAGGATCAAATCAAAAAGGTTTGTTTTCTCTACATTTAGTGCTTTTTCTGAGCTTTACTCCTTGTTTGCTCTAGTTTATCCATCTGATTTAGTCACAGTTTTACTCCACCTTTTGCTCACAAGTTAAATAATTAATACTCAGTTTAGTTTAATAATCTCTCGTTGGATTTTAGGACTAATCAAACCAACAATAGACTAAATTAAATTCTTAAAGCTTTCAGGTTTGCCTCACAAATCCACAGGAGGTCCACAAATAGAAAAAGAACCATTGTCAAGATTAACCCAATTTAGAGAGGATGTGCAGAACTACTCACTTATCTAGAATTGATGTAAGAGGAGCCAGAGGGATGTTCTCATTTTATTATTATTTATTCTTATTTTGGTCCATTAAATATGTTTAAAAACTTAATTTCCATCACATCTACCAAAATCAAACATCCAGAGAAGTGCTGTATTGTGTCATGGAGAGTTTTTACAGAATCTACAGCCTCTTAGAAGGTCTGCATAGTTTAGCTGTTTTGTCAATTAAAAAAAAATAAAAAACTAATAAGACAATAACTTAAGATTTTTAATCCTTAGCCTATTACCAAATATTCATACACAGTGTAGTTTGCACAGGATTCGATTGCACTGGTTCCTGTATTAATGTCAGTATTCCAATAATAACTTATTAGTTCCCCATTTGTTATGTTATTTGAACTGCAGAGAATAATTAATAAACAAAGTTGTGAAAATCTTAATTTACAGTATATTTAAGATGCAAGTGTTTTAGTACGGCCCATTCTGCTTTACTTCAATTCTCTGAAAATCACCAAAATATAAAAAAAATAATGTATATTGGGTGAATTTTTTTTCCACATAACTACAGATCACTTATTTTTACACAGTAACATTTACTGTGATATAAAAAAACACACTTTACCACTTTGTTTCAGTTAATTCCTCTGAAAACCTAGATATTTCCAGGTTGTATAGATCTGTAGAGATCAATGGTTGATAGATATTTGTAGAAGTGACGTATTTTAAGAAGTAATTAAGCGTACAAGGATTAATTAATGAGAATAACTCACAGGTAGAGAGCTGAAGGTCCAACCACTGATGCAAGGAATGCAGAGACGACCCCAGACCCGCAGCCCACCTCCAAACACACGCAGGGGCTGCAAACATTTTTTTATTTATTTAAGGATCATCATTTCATAAAGGAACAACACAGAATTAGAAACTCGCACCTCATGTGCAGCAGCCTCTCTGCATCTTTCTCCAGGGCATCAATCAGCAGAAAGGAGTCCTCTGCAGGCTCGTACACATCCTGGAAGCTTCCGCGTCCAGCGTGGGAGTAAAGCGGCGTGGGATAATTACTGCACATGTTGAATGAAAAATAAATAGTCCAGAGGTGTTGGTGTTAATGTCTAAAGCGGACGCGAAAATTTGTTTATTTCATTAAAACACGTGGTCGGCTGTTTTCTACCAAATAACATCCGCATGTCTGTGTCTGAAGGTTCCTTCTATGATTACACCGCCACCTAGCGCACAGGTGGAGGCACTACAAGATGGCGTTTTAATGAAGCCAGTTTTTTTTCTTCTTCTTGGCGGATTGCAAACAACTGCTCTGTTCGAAAACCTAGGACGCATCCTTAGAAGACCGGATTCGAAGGCCGATTACGTCATAGCGCGGCGCCGAGGTCTGGTCGGATTCCAAGAGTCCTCGTTATGCGGCCTTAAAATGCGTCCTTCTTTTTGCCCGATTTGAAGGACGGGTCCGATGTATCCTCGGTATTCTTGGATATCCCAGGATTCATTGCGAGACCAAGCAAGCCGTGATCAGAGTAAAGGTTACTTGGCGCCGAACAGTGGTGAAAATTGGAAGTTCAGTTTAATATAATACAACTCTGTGAATAGTTCCGTCTGAAATGAATGAAAATAGTTGTTTTAATGGTTATTGAGTCAGATATGTGGCGGTAATGTTTGGTTTATCTAAAGGTTTTAATCTGTTACTGTGTAAATGGGTTTGGCTGTAATTTAAGGACAGATTCTAATATATTTGCAGGGTGGGGACTATAAATCTGATAGGATTTTTATCTTTTTATTGCTGTTTTGCACAATATGCTTAACTTCCTATTTTTTGTTGTTGAATATTAGAGATTTTGCAGATATATTTTTTATACATATATTGTTTAGATTTACTTATATCTTTCTACCCCTTTTATAGAATAGAAAATCTCTTTATTTTCCCACAATGGGCAAATTTACAGCAGCAGAAAGATTATTGAAAATGGTCACACAAATGTGGACCTTAGAAAAATGTATAAGAATAACATAATAGGGAAGAGTTAAAATATAAACAATAAAATACTGTAAAGTGTTTTAACAATATAAAACTGGGGAATAAATAACCAATATGCAGCTATGGACATTTTTACAGTCATGGATATTTGAAAAAGCAGCAACATCAGAGATGTGCAGAATGACAGCAGCAGGTTATTTAACTGACTTTTTCTATCATTACATTTGATTTGATTTGTTCCTGCTCCCGCTGGTTGGAACCTTTATTCCACTCTGGATTCTTGTTAATGTAGTCTTTGTTCACTTCACAATAAAAAAGAAATAAATAAACAGTTTTGAAAACTTCTGTATTCATTCTTTTCCTGCTTTGTGTGTCAACGTTCACGGTTGCTCAGAAACAGAGCATACGGCGGTAAAACCCGCCAAAGGGTAGACCTGGTCGAATTTACAGCCAAAACTCTTCCGGTCTCCTTATTTTCAAGGACTTCGAAGGATCCAGTCTAGGTAGACCGCGTCCTTGGAGGACCCGTCCTAGGTTTTCGAACAGAGCCAACTTATAGGTGCGTACTACGGTGGCTGAGAAGTGCAAAACACATTTACAATTCAAAAACACATTAACAAATAAAAAACAAAATAACATTTGAAGAAACAAAATTATATTTTATGAAACAATTTATTTTTGAAAAAAAAGTTAAAATTTTTAAAAATACATTTACATTTTAGCAAACAAATTTACATTAACAAATAAACAAAATAACATTTGAAGAAACAAAATTATATTTTATGAAACAAATGTATTTTTGAAAAAAAAAGTTTAAATTTTTAAAAACACATTTACAATTCAAAAACACATTAACAAATAAAAAACAAAATAATATTTGAAGAAACAAAATTATATTTTATGAAACAATTTATTTTTGAAAAAAAAAGTTTAAATTTTTAAAAACACATTTACATTTAAGGAAACAAATTCACATTTTAAATAAGTTAGATTTTAGGTGAGAGAAAGTTTCATTTTAGAGAAAAAAAATACATTATAGGGAAACAAATTTACATCTAAAAAAAAATTGACCGTTCGGAAACACTTGTACAAGTGCAAAGACAAAACTGCAAGTGGCAAAACACATTTACATAGCCAAAAACAAATTAACAAAAGACGGCTACACGGAAAGGGAATGTCCCAGTGGCCGGATGTCACGTCACGATTACCCTGACTTGTAGTACAAACAGCTCAATCTGTAGTCCTCCTGCTTCACGTGAAAAATCAGCGGCGATTTTAGATGGAAAGAATTGCACTGAAGCTGTTTTTCTTACGTTTACGCTAACCGAACAATGTTTTCAGCCAATTTACACCATTTTGTTCTTCGTGCGGACGGTCTCTGGAACTTTTACGGGACACGGTACAAGGTGGCAGGACCAAGCAGCAGGGCCGAGCTCAATTCGTGGCAGTGGCTGCGGCAGAGCCTGCCATCGGAGAGGCCGATGGTGGCCGCTGCCGGCAGAACCTGCCATCGGAGAGGCCGATGGTGGGCGCTGCCGGCAGAGCCTGCCATCGGAGAGGCCGATGGTGGCCGCTGCCGGCAGAGCTTGCCATCGGAGAGGCCGATGGTGGCTGCTGCCGGCCGAGGCCACTTATTCGCAGATAAAGTACTCCGTTCCATCAAGTAAATGTGACATTATAAAAGTTTTAATGCAGTTTATTAAGCACTAACATCACAATAAAAAGAAACCCATAAAGAATACATTTTAATACAGGTTATTAAGCGATAACATCACAATATATAGCCTTTATATATATATATATATATATAAAACAATCTAGTTAGAAGTACTATAAATAAGGCATTTGCCGAAAAACCGCAGGAAAAATACCCAAAAAATAATTAAATACTAAAGAAAAGTAATTAAAAAACTACATGACAAAATAATAGTGGCTCCGGCCAGTAATACGCCCGGCTCTGCTGCTTGGTCCTGCCACCTGGTCCGTGTCCCGTAAAAGTTCCAGAGACCGTCCGCACGAAGAACAAAATGGTGTAAATTGGCTGAAAACATTGTTCGGTTAGCGTAAACTTAAGAAAAACAGCTTCAGTGCAATTCTTTCCATCTAAAATCGCCGCTGACTTTTCACGTGAAGCAGGAGGACTACAGATTGAGCTGTTTGTACTACAAGTCAGGGTAATCGTGACGTCACATCCGGCCACTGGGACATTCCCTTTCCATGTAGCCGTCTTTTGTTAATTTGTTTTTGGCTATGTAAATGTGTTTTGCCACTTGCAGTTTTGTCTTTGCACTTGTACAAGTGTTTCCGAACGGTCAATTTTTTTTTTAGATATACATTTGTTTCCCTATAATGTATTTTTTTTCTCTAAAATGAAACTTTCTCTCACCTAAAATCTTAACTTATTTAGTATGTGAATTTGTTTCCTTAAATGTAAACGTGTTTTTAAAATTTTAAACTTTTTTTTTCAAAAATAAATTGTTTCATAAAATATAATTTTGTTTCTTCAAATATTATTTTGTTTTTTATTTGTTAATGTGTTTTTGAATTGTAAATGTGTTTTTAAAAATGTAAACTTTTTTTTTCAAAAATACATTTGTTTCATAAAATATAATTTTGTTTCTTCAAATGTTATTTTGTTTATTTGTTAATGTAAATTTGTTTGCTAAAATGTAAATGTGTTTTTAAAAATTGTTACTTTTTTTTCAAAAATAAATTGTTTCATAAAATATAATTTTGTTTCTTCAAATGTTATTTTGTTTTTTATTTGTTAATGTGTTTTTGAATTGTAAATGTGTTTTGCACTTCTCAGCCACCGTAGCATACCGCCACCTACTGTACATGAGTGTGTAGCTCTATAGTTCCACCAATTCTATTCTATTTTTTTTATTTTTGTGTTATGTAAAAATAAAAACATATGCTTTATTAATAACCAAATGTTCCTCCCCATCTCCACCTGTCCCTAAAATACTTTTAATACCCCATTCTCTACATTTTTCCAAAATTGCCCTTTTTTTTTTTTATAACGTTTTTGCTGCTGATGAAGAAACTGGATATACGAGTATTAGAGAAACCATGTTAAGTTAAAGTGTATATTCTGTAAATTCTTTGCACATTTAAATTAATCAAATTATGCAATAAAAAAAAAACTGTAAATTTACAGTCATATGTTTATATTACTGTTTTATATATTTATTTTTTACTGTTTTTCAAGGCTGCACTTTTAAAAAAAAGATGATATTGTCCAGAGAGCTGTTCCAAACAAAATTTATTTTTGTTTTACACTTGCGTAAACAAAATGACAAATAAAATCTGTCTAAGTCTAATCTAATTTGGGGACGGAGGTACATTAATCCAGAAAACTTCCTATTTTATTGTATTTCATATTTACTTTTGGCTAAAATCAGTGAAAGGTGATTCAAGTATTTGATACTTTTTTTTTTTCTTCCACTAACCTGCACCCTCTTCTCCAAAACTACCTGGAGTCTCTCACTGTATGCATATGTAACATAGTTAATGTGTTATAGAATTCCACTTGTCAGCATTCCCAAGTTTGGGTTTATCGCTTATGGGTGAAACAGCACCCCCTTCTGGTGGTTGGTTACGTTAAGTGTAGTGAACTCGGACATCTCGTTGCCAGTTCATGAGAGATGGGCGCAAGGTAGGTTCACTGAGCTTAACACTCCAGTAAAATTGTGTTAGCTTGATGCTAACATGTAATACTGTTCCTTGTAAGGTGCTGTACCGGCTGTGATGAGCCTGATCGCTGATCGTTATTATTCTGTTCTGCACAGATAAACATTTCTACTCACCCTGTCTCCTGGCCATCATTAACACAACGCAGAATCGAACCACACCATATGAAAGCGTGTACCGAGGTTACACATACTTGTTGAAAAGTTGTTAAGCACTATTACTAAGGACACATTTAGAAAACTGCACTGTGTTAATTAGTCATTTTATCTCTTATTATGAGTAACTGATGCCTACAGAAGGCTGTCAGATCACATATCACACATAATCATGGAGTAATGGACTTAAACGTGGAAACATTCATGGAAATGTACTTATTCACAAAGATGCGCACTTTCGTCTGGTTTGGTCTGCCGCGGCTTCCGTAGCGTCGTGAGCTCGCAGGCACGCGCTTTCAGGAAATGCTATACACTACTGTTTATGCTCTAAAAACATTCTAAATGACTTCGTTTCGAGTAAATTCTGGATGCTACCCAC